GCCAGCAGGAGCCTCCCGGGCCGCCTTGGGGGCCCTGCTCGCCTGGCTACGAGCCATTAGTGTCCCCGCGGGTCCGCTGGAGCCGCCTCGGCGCCATCCGGTAGAGGGAAACAATTAGTGAACACCCCCCCTGCCCCCCAAACTCAAAGTTGGCACGCGGGGGGGAGACTGCGGCCGAGGTGCAACTCATCAGACCCACCGCCAACTGTGAACATTGGGGGAAGGGGGAGGCGTTCACAGATGAATGTGGCATGAGTGTTCGCTAGTTTTTCCCGAGGCCTGTCTTGAGCGCCTCAGTGTCATCTTGGGTCCGTCGAACGCCGTCTGGGGACCCCCCGGGGCCGCCGCGGAGCTCCCCCGGGGGCTCCGAGGGCGCCCGCCCCGGGGGGGCCCGGGGACCGAAGCGAGGCAGCGGCCTTCCCGCGCAAAGAGGCCCGCAAGGCCGGGACTGAGCCGCGGACTGCCGTCCACGAGTGCCACTGGTCAGAGTGCACCTGCTGCTGCCCGTGGCTTCAGAGTGCGCTGGCTTGCGCGACGACTCTGGCGGCCTCCAGAGCAGCGCCAGCAGTATCAGCGAAAGCAGACGCACGAGCATGGGCAGTGACAAGCGCAGCAGCAGTGACGAGCGCAGCATGGGCAGCGCCCTCATGGTGGGGAAGACAACCTCGAGTTACGACTGCGTCGGGATGGATTACTTTCCAGGCGCACACTTCATGTAAGCGGCGCAGTGAGCTCATGGTCGCAGTCGTGCGCATGGTCTTATTGGTCCTTGATACGCTTTGGAGTGATCGTTAGAATATTTCTCAAAGAACACCTACACTTCCCTTACTTCGCGCTATCGTTCTTCGTGCTATTCGATTTCTTCCTCCTCCTCAAGTTTTTCCAGATTCTAACCTACGATCGGTTGCTCATGCAGTACACCCAGACGACGAGCTCCAGCAGCAGCAGCAGTGCGGGTCCTGCAGCCAGGGGCCGCAGATCCAGCAGGAGCGCCCGTGACGGAGGAAGACAGCGCCGACGGGGAGGAGGAGGCCCAAGATGAATGGGAAAACCAAACCCCACACCCCTTGCGACGCGCACAGCGCGGGAGGAGGGAGGAGGGAGGAGGGAGGAGGGAGGAGGGAGGAGGGAGGAGGGAGGAGGGAGGAGGGAGGAGGGAGGAGGGAGGAGGGAGGACTGCATTGGACAGCTATGTTCTGCAACCCCTCCCGTGCGAGAGGTGTCCCAAGAGGTGTGGGGTGCCGTTTCTGTTCCCATCGCGCGGTGCTTTTTGGGCGCCTATCGGAGCCGTTTGTAGGGAGCTGCTGGAGACCGTCCGAGAGCCTGTGGGATGTGGTTTTTGTCAAATCAAACGGGGCCTTTGTAGGAGCATGTCAAAGCCGTTTCGAGGGAGCTGCTGAATGCTTTCCGGGAGCCGCTGGGCAGTATCCCGAAGGCCGTCAGGAAGCCTCTGGGGGGTTTACTTGGGGGCGAACTGGCCGGGGGGGGGCGGGATGGAAGGGAAGCGCTCCAGAGTTCGCCCTGGAACGAGCTGAGGCCGCCTGGGGGGCCGCACTAGGGCCAAAATTGGAAATGAAAAAGCGCATGCGCGCCTTATTTTCCAACGACTCTCCACCTCGTGGGCGGAACACATGTCCGTATCCGCGGCCTCGCGGGCTGGGCCCCTGGGCCGCGACCCCGCGGATACGGGGCGCTGTTTCGCAGATGCCCCGCGCGGAACGTGTGTGCGTGCCACCGCGTATCCGCGGGATCGCGCCCTGGAATCCAAACTGCGAGGGCGCGGATACGGGTATGTTCGCCCCCCGTGGCCATCGTGGCTGTGGCCGTCCGAGGCGGTCGGAGGAGGCGCGCGGGCTGCGCCGGCTCGAAGGAGGGCTGAAGGGCACTGCGGCGCCTGCCCACGGTGGCCGGGGCGGGCCCGGGCGGAACAACTCCCCGACGGGTCTCCCATTCAGGCCGGAGCCGCTCCAAAGAAGAAGGGGGGCAAATGAGAAGCGCATGAGGCCCCCGGGGGCCTCCCGACAGGCCCCCAAGAGGCCCCCGAGAGGCATCAAAAAACTACCCCCCCAGAGGCCCCCGAGAGCGCTCCGACGAGACCCCAAGAAGCATCCCTGAGGACTCTGACCCACGTCAGCATCGTCGTCGTCGTTCAGGGTCGGCGGCACCGTAAGGTCTCTCCAATAAGAAGCGCATGGGTGCCTAATTATGTTCCCAGATGGCGGGCGCGGTCTCGGAGCTCTCTAAGTGGTCTTCCCTCGAAGCCTCTTGGAGACGGTTTTGGGGTATCTTGGGGCCTCTTGGAGGCCTCTCGGAGCCTGCATTGGGCCTCTTGGCGGCCTCCTGGGGCTTCTGGGGGGCTTCTTGGGGGCCCGATGGCTGTCTCGGTGTCATCTTGGAGCGGAGGGCGCAAATTGTCAGTTCGAGTTCCCCCTCCTGGGGACCTCTTGGGGCCCTGTCTGGGGGCCGCTTGGGCCGTCTTGGGGCCATCTTGGGCCGTCTGAGGACTCTTTGAGGCCTGTTGGACTGCCTTGGGGCGATCTTGGGGGTCTCTTGGGCCGTCTTGGAGCGCCAGAAGCCCAAAAAGGCGAGAACGCCAAACTCCTGCAAGCATCGAAAGGGGAATGTATGAGTTTGACCTCTTAGGGCCCTCTTTTGAAGCCTCTTGGAGCTCCTTGGGCCGTCTTGGGGCCCTGTTGGGCCGTCTGGGGGCTGTATTGGTACCATCTTGAATCGTCTGAAGTTGTCTCGGGCTATCTTGGACCGTCTTGAAGCTCTCTTAGGCCGTCGTGGAGCGTCTCGGGGGCGCGCCTTGACCGGCGAGCCCGATTTGTGCCCACTTGGATCCTCTGCATTCCCGCACGCGGTGCGCCCTGCGCCCATCATTAGCATCAAAATGTAGAGACTAGGGCTGACCCGTGGCCTAGCAGCCACGGAATATGTCCGAGCGAGCACGTGGTGATACGGCGCAAATGATATCGAGAGGCTGAAATCACAGAGTGGAGGTCGAACGTCGCTGGGGCCCTGCGCGCCGGAGTGGCCATCTTGGAGCGGTCTTGGGCCGCCCTGGGGCCGCATCGTGGGGCCACCCTGGGGGCGTCTTGGAGTGTCAGGGCCCTCTGGAGCCGTCTTGGGGCCCCTGGGTGCCTCTGGGCGTTCGGTGCCGAGGGCGGGGGGCGGTCGGGGGAGGCCTTGGGGCCATCCTGTCGGGTGTTACTAAAAAAAACCCTGGCCCAAGGTACCCCCAAGATTCTCGGGGTGGCCCAAACGGCCTCTGGGGCACCCCTCACGAAGCCCAGAGGGCCTCCAGGGCTCCACAGTGGAACGAAAAGCTGGGGGCACCTCGGGCCAGGGGCACTTTTAGCAACACCCGATCCTGGGCCGGTCTCGGCCATGCTCGCGGCACGCGGGGCCGTCGAGGCCTCAGCCTTCCCCTGCCAGCTCCACAGGGAGACGCCATGGACAGCGGCCCAGGAGCGCTGCAGAGGAGCGCGTGCGCCGCCGACTGGCAGCAGCTGCGCCGCGAGGGGGCTCCTCCCCCCTCTCCTCCTCCTCCTCCTCCTCCTCCTCCTCCTCCTCCTCCTCCTCCTCCTCCTCCTCCTCCTTCTCCTCCTCCTCCTCCTCCTCCTCCTCCTCCTCCTCCTCCTCCTCCTCGAGACTGCCTGAAGAACGGCGCCAGGCTCGTCTTCGGGGCCGGCTCGGCACCTGCGGGCCTTCTGGGGCGCTCTGGCGGCAATCACGGGGGCCGCTCTGTGCCCGTTTCGCGGCGGTGTGGGTGCCGCCCAGGGCCTCGGTGGGGCCGCTGAGGCCGCTGCGGGCGGACCTCTGGGCCCATCACGGGGCAGATAGGCAGAGCGGCAAGAGAGGGACGGGAAAGCCAAACGGCAAGCTACAGTCATCGGCCTGACCAAAGGAACGATAAATCCGCCGGCCCCCTTGTGGGGCCACCAGGCTGTAGGCCGAAGGTTCGCAGTTTCCTGTACCAGTTGCAGCTTCCAGTTTCCACTGTTACAGTTCTGCTTATTGCTGCGTACTGTTCCTTGTTGATGGACCGCGCGAGGGGGGGGAGGCCCAAACGGGCAGGTTTAGCACGCCCTGAGCGTGTTGTCTGAATTGCTGGGGTGGGTAAAAATTAACACCCCTCACGCAGATCAGCGGGGTCAGGGGTCAGGGTCCAAAAAACACAAGGGATTTGCCACATTTCTGAAATTCGGCTGCACCCCTCACGCAGATCGGCGGGGTCACGGTGCAAAAACACATGGGATTTGCCACATGTCTGAAATCCGGTGGCACCCCTCATGCAGATCGGCGGGGTCAGGGTCCAAAAACACATGGGATTTGCCACATTTCTGAAATTCGGCGGCACCCCTCACGCAGATCCGTAGGGTCAGGGTTCAAAAACACAGGGAATGTGCTACATTTCTGAAATTCGGTGGCACCCCTGACGCAGATCCGTAGGGTCATGGTCGAAAAACATACAGGTCCCGACAGTGCTTCACGGCGGCGCCCAGACCTCATGATTTAGCTTTTGCATCTCCCATTATCTGAGACAGGGGGCCGGCGGCATGGGGCGAAGCCCTTACGGATAAGGAATGAAGCCCCTTTTTTCCAGGGCTAACGCAAAAGGAACGATAAATAATAAAAAACGCATAAGGAACCATAAATAACGCATGCAAATCTAAGGAACGATCGAGCCCATTTAAAAAAGTAAGTGTTCCTTCTTCAAGCCGCTCACTGTACGTTCTGCGTTCTCTTCGGGGCCTCTGGGCAGCCTCTTCGGGGCATCCAGGAAGCCCGGTGGTTTTTCGGGGCATCTTGGGTGCACGTCGGAAATATTGGGCCGCCTGGGAGGGGGTCTCGGAGACCTCCTTTCCTGTCAGTCTGAAGGCCACCTTGGGGCGGGGGCGGGGATGGAGAGCCAGCACTGGTTTCCACTCTGGCACGCGCACGGCCCAGAATTGGACAGATGGCATCGGGCTCCAACTTCGCATCACGAATCTCGTTCAGCAGCGACAGGGCCCGCTGCCACTGCCTGCCTCTTTCACATGCGCTGACCCCAACACTGTAGCTGACTAGCGCGCGCGTGGGTGAAATGCACCAGCAACTGCTGCATGGACTTATGCCGCTGCTGGCTGCACGCAAGTTGTGCTTGCTGCTGCCTGCTGGCGGGTGCTTCCTGTGGCCGCTGCTGCTAGCTCTGGTGCTGCTGGCTCTGCTGCTGGCTGTGCTGCTGGCTCTGCTGCTGGCTGCGCTCCTGGCTGTGCTGCTCACTCGCTGAGATCGCTGGCCCGTCCCGCTGCCCTTTGGAGGCCTGGGGGCCCTCTTGGGCCTTCTTGGGTCTGCTCTGCTGCTGCTGACTGCTGCCGCTTGCCTTTTCGCAGCTGCTGATACAGTCGGGGCGTTGACCCAAGGAACCCTAAATAAGGAACGAGGTCCCTTTTTCCCACAAATTAAACTTCGATCTCCCATCGAAACCCTAAGGAACATCCAAGACAAGCTGCGAAACACTTACGGAACACGGAGCCCCTCCCCAACAAAAAGAGTTCCTTCTTCAGAGCCCCGACTGTATTAGCTCTGCGGCTCGTCCTGTCGTGTCGCCATGTTCAAAGGGCCCTCCTGGGGCTGCCTTTGGGCGGCAGGGCCTGCTGCGACTACTGGCGACTGGTGCTTGCCTCTCTTGGCTGCTGCAGCTAGCTCTGCTGCTGTTGACGGCTCTACTGCTTGCTTGCTGCGACCGCTCGATCATCCTGTCTTGACGCCCCCTGGGGGGGACCCTCTTAGGGCTATCTCGGGGCCTTCTTGGAGTCCCTTGGGGCCTTCCTTGGGAGCCTCTTGGAGACATGAAATTTCACGGGGCAGTGGAGGGCCGAAATGGTATCCCCCGCCCCCCCTCCCCCAAGAAAATCCTAGCAAGAACTGCCGTTGGGGTTTCGCCCTGCGGCGGAATAAGCAAACCACCTGGGGTCTCGGGCCTACATGCTATTATGATTGGGACCTGGCCCCGAAAATGTCCCGCAGTTTCGATGTGTCCCACCGACTCCCAGATCCTGCGCTCAGGTATCCCATCGCTTGTTTGCGCGCGCAACGCTGATTCTAGATTCTTCCAGAATCTCCCCGACTTCGCCCCGTGATGGTTATGTTTGCTGTATGGCACAGCAAACTCTCGTCGCGAGGATATGGAAATCTGCATTTCCCCACAATCGTTACCCGAAGAGGGCAACGTTGACTACCGGACCACATGTTGACAATCGTCAACATGGCTCTCCATCGGCCACGCATGCATGTTGTGTGTTTGTCCACGGTGCGATGGTGTGCGCGTGTGTGAGACACACACACACACACACGCTTTGGTCTCCATTGTCATTTCTGGTCAGGCCCTGGGGCACACCTCGTTACCGCGTCAGCTGCCGCGGCTCGAATGCCCTTCGGGAGCCCATCAGACTGTGGCCTGCCTTGCGACTTGCGCGCGTCAGCGGACGCCCTGGAGAAAGCGCCAGCGCGCGCGACCAGGCAAGGGGGCGCGAGATTCCAGGGTCTTCTCGGAGCCCTCTTCCCATGCGGCCGACGTCGGCCACCGAGCGTAGGCACAGGGGTGGGACCTTCCATCTCAACCCCGCTCGGCTGGCCTTGCCCAGTCATTCCCCGCCCAGCTCGACCCAGCCAGATCCACTTCAGCCCATCTTGGCCGAGCCCAGGGCCCGTCCAGCTCGCCTCCGGGCGTGCGCGGCTTGCTTGACGGGGGCGCCCAAACACTGCGCAGTGGAACTTCACTGCATTCGGGAAACAATAGGTTTCCGAACATGAGCACATGGGCGGGGGTTTCCAATTCAGCCAGCTCAGCCCAGCCAGGTCCAGGCAGTCCCAGGCGGTTCAGCCCTGCCAAATCCATGTCGGTCATGTTTATGCGAGGTCCATCCTGCCCAGGTTTCCTGTAGGAGTGCGCGGCTTGTCTAAGGGGGACACCCGTAGATTGCGCAGCGGTGCGACTAAAGTTCTGTCAAAATTTCAGATGGCAGTGGAGAGTATAGTATTAATAGTGTCAGCCCCCCCTCCCGATTGAATCCTGACAAGAACTGCCGTTTTGGGTTTGCCCAGCGGTGGGATGACTAAGCCCCTGGTGTCTCGGGGACTCGAAAAGAGTCCAGTGGTTTAACATGGAAAACAGTGATCACAGAGTCTCCCAGATCCTCGCCTCAATTACCCCATCCTCTCTTCACGTGCAACGTTTATGCCAAGTTATCCAAGAATCTCCCCAACTTCGTCCTGTGATGGGTTCTGCTTGCTGCATGTCATAAAGGGCTCTCGTTACGAAGTACAGTATGGGTTCATTGGAGTCTCGCGGGGACCTTCGGGACCATCTGGAAGGGTTTGGAGGACATCGTGGGGCGGTCTTGAGCCGTTCTGAAGCCGTCTTGGAAACGTCTTGAGGAGGCCAGCTGGGACCACCTCGGGCTATCTTGGGGGCGTCGTCGGCCTACTTGGAAACTCTGAAGCGCCTCGCGGGCAAACTTAGAAGCCTTTGGGCCGGTGGTGGAATCATCTTGGCCACAATGTGGAGAGCGCCTATCGATGTAGGAAGCCGAGATAAGCCAGATGACTTTCGCTTTCGGGGGACCCTGTGCGACGCTGTCTTGGAGCCTCTTTGGGCCACCCTCGCGCAATCCCTGAGCCGTCCCGGGGCGTCTCGGCCCGCCTTGGGCGCCTCCCAGGGCGCCTCCCTAGTGGCCCTCTCAGCCGACCAAAAGCCCCGAGGGAACAGCGCCAGGCCACCGTGGCCCGTTGGGACGAAAGCCCCACCACTCGCTTACGGTCAGGAACTCTTGCCTAGCACGTCGCGGCGGCAGCCCCGGCGACACGCGGTGCCCGGCAAGCGGACGGCGTGTCGCTCCGCTCCGCGGGGCGGGAGCCTGAGAAAAGCTCGGGGCCGAGACGCCTCGGGACCACAACGAGGTCAGCGCGTCGCGCCGCAGCGCGGCGAGCCACAGCCGGCGGCGCGAAGCGCGGAGCCAGAGCTCCTGACCGTGCACTCTCGCGCGCTGGCCACGGCATTGCAGTAGAGGATGACGCTGGCCTGAACCTTCTCCTCGATCATCTCGTCGAGGAGCGAGAGCGCCCACTGCCACTGCTCACCTTTCCCACATGCGCTGGCAGTCGCAGTGTAGCGGCCTGGGCTGAGCCTCGCGCGCTGCCGGGACTCCTCGCGGAACAACCGCAGCGCTTCGCTCCACGTCTGCGTCCGCCCACGCCGCTCTGTGGCCACCTCACAACGAGAAGCGCATGGTCGAGGTCCTCGCCAGTCGTCGAGCATTCAAGGCCATCTGGAGACAAAGTGGTCCAAACCACTGTTTGAGCCAGAGCCTTGACCCAAGAGCACGATCGAAAGGAGGAGGACCAAAGGGGGAGGGTAGGTGAGAAGGAAGACGAGGAGTAAACGAACGATCGAAGATCGATTGAGAAGAGGCGGGGGAGGAGAAGGCGGATGGGCCGAGCGCCCCTCTCGCTGATCGCACTTGCCTGGAGGAGGGAGGATGAGCAATAGGCGGAGGCCACACAAAAGGCGTCCGAGTAGATGGGGACAGAGGCGCCACATCACCGATGCGTCGGCGATGCATCGGGTCGGGATGAAAAAGATCTGGCTCCAAATCGATCCGCATCGCCGATGAATCAGCGATGCGGCACGATCCTCCGACCCCACCCGCTCTGGCCCCATCTGGGCGGTCTGGAACAGCGATGAGGAGGGAAAGGAAGAGAGGTGGGGGGGAGAAGGAGGAGGAGGAGGAGGAGAAGGGAGAGGAGGAGGAGGAGGAGGAGGAGGAGGAGGAGGAGGAGAAGGAGGAGAAAAAGGAGGAGAAAAAGGAGGAGAAAAAAGAGAGGAAACAAAAAGGAGGAAAAAAAAGGAGGAGGAGGAGAGGAGGGCAGGAAACGAGGACAAGGAGGAGGAGAAGGAGAAGGGAGGAGGAGGAGGAGGAGGAGGAGAAGGAGGAGGAGGAGGACAAGGAGGAGGAGGAGAGGAGGAGGAGAAGGAGGGATGAGGAGGAAAGAAGGGGATGAGGAGGAGGAGGAGGAGGGAGGAGGAGGAGGAGGAGGCGACAGGGGAAGCGGGAAGGAGAGGGGAGGAGGGGGGGAGGAGGTAAGAGAACGAGTTGGAGGACTGGGGGAACTATAATCCATACTAATACCCAGGCTGCTGCTCCGCGGTCCCCTCCTGGGGTGCGCTCTGACCAGGACCCCAAAACGGATCTGACCGTGGCCATGAGGGACGGGTAGCGGCATCGGCACCTTTTCCTCCTCTGAAGGATGGGGCGGTGCCACCGTGAGTCGGCAAGCTGTCGCGGCCCGGAGAAACGTCCTCGCCCGTTCCTCCCGAGTGTGGAACGAAGACGATGGCGTGGAGGGCGGAAGGCTTCTTAGTAGGAGGCTGCTTCTTGGAAGGCGCGGGCCTTACATTCATGTTTAAGGCCCGCGCCTTCTGAGAAGCAGCCTCCTTCTAAGAAGCCTTTCCCCCTCCCCCATACCCCCCTCTGCGCGTGACCGAGAGGGGGGGGGAGAGGAAGTAAAGGAAAACGAGAAAGGAGCCTGGACAAAGACGAGGCAAGCCTGCAATAAGAGGAGGAGGAGGAGGAGGAAGAGGAGGAGGCAGGAGGCGCAGGAGATGAAGGAGGCAGGAGGAGGCAGGAGGCGGAGGAGGAGGCGTTCCGCGGCGGAGCAGGCGCGGCGGCGGCGGAGCGGTGTGTCGGGCCGAAGGTGGAACTAAGCCGAACAGGACGCACTGCAAACATAACATCAGCAATGAGCGACGGCGGAGCAGGAGGAGAGGAGGCGGAGGAGACATATGATCGCGGCCCGCGGCTCGTCGTCGTCGTCGTCGGCGTCGGAGTCGGCGTCCTCCTCGTCCTCGTCGTCCTCGTCGTCCTCGTCGTCCTCGTCGTCCTCGTCGTCCTGGTCGTCGTCGTCATCGTCGTCGTCGTGGTCTTGGTCGTCGTCGTCGTCGTCGTCGTCGTCGTCGTCGTCGTCGTCGTCGTCGTCGTCGTCGTCGTCGTCGTCGTCGTCGTCCCCCAAGAGGTCCCGAGGGCGGGCCTGCCACGAAGGCCGCGGCGAGCGGCGCGCCGTCCAGCAGGCCGTGCGCGCGCAGCGCGTGGGACACGCCCTGGCGGAGCGGCGGCGGCGGAGGGGCGACGGCCGCGCCGGAGGCGGAGGCGGAGGGGGCGAAGGGGCGGAGGGCACGTCCTGGCGGAGCGGCGGCGGCGGAGGGGCGGCGGAGGGGCGGCGGAGGGGCGGCGGCGGAGGGGCGGAGGGGCGGAGGGGCGGAGGGGCGGCGGAGGGGCATGGAGGAGGGCGTGGTCGGCAGGTGGACGTCCTCGACGGCGACATCGCCGTCATATGCGTCGTCGTCGTCGTGCCACGTTCCTGCTTCTCTCGCCCACCTCGTCCACCGTCCTCCTCCTTCTCCGCGTCCTCGCCACTCATCCTCGTTCCCCACCGCACTCTCCATGCCCTGCTGGCAAGCATTGGCTCGCTGCTACCACTACGGAGATATAACTGCATACTGACATTACGTGCTTCTTTGCGCTACCCAACATCATTACCATCGCGACAAGCATCATCAGCACCATCACGTTCATCGCCATCGTCAGCATCACCATCACCATCACCATCAACGTAATTCGCACCACCCTCCTCCCGCGGGTCCTCGTACCCGACGAACGGCACCGCCCGCAGGACCATCGCAGCCAGGGCGGCGGGGAGCGCGCCTCGAATAGACGCACACGGGTGGGGGAGAGAGAAGGGAAAGACTTGAGGGATGGAGAGGAGGAGGAGGAGGAGGAGGAGGAGGAGGAGGAGGAGGAGGAGGAGAGGAGGAGAGGAGGAGGAGGAGGAGGAGAGGAGAGGGAGGAGGAGGGGAGGAGGAGGAGGAGGAGGAGGAGGAGGAGGAGGAGGAGGAGGAGGAGGAGGAGGAGGAGCGACACGCGGCCAAAGTGGAGGAAAGGGAGGATTCTAGCAGGGGACGTTGGGGAGGGGGGGCGGAAGGCTGCGCGGCAGAGCCCATCCGTGATCACGGCCGCGAGCGGGCCCTGCGCCCACCACGATCCTAAGCACTCGTTTGTTTTCTGTGTGCATACGCATGCAAAAGTTAGCCAGTTTGGACCCCACACAGTATGTTTCAGCAGCATGCGCTGCGCAATCCATGTTGTGCAGCCTACGTGGTGTTATAGATGGGGGATAGATACCTAATATACAGGAATACAAACGTACGTACATACATACCTACATGCAGGCATACATACACACATACATACATACCTACGTATATATATATATATATACATACATACATACAGACAGACAGACGGACATACATACATACGTATATACATGCATGCATTACAGTTACATTACAAGACAGTACATTACACTGCCAAACATTACATTACCTTAAATTACAGCAAAGTAATTTGCATGATAATACAGCACATTACACGACAGTAAATTACAATACGGTACATTACATCACATACATACATGCGTAGTACATAACTAGATGCATGTATGTAAATGTAGAGATTGTGCAGGATGTAGTGTGCAACATCTGTGTTGGCATATGTGTTGTGTATGTGGTGTCGTTTACGCTGTGCAGCCTGGATGTAGCAACATAAGTGAACCGAGACCTGTGGTGCAGCACATGGTGTGCAATAGATGCTACGCAACCTACGATGTGCAAGCCATGTGGTGGAGTCGATGTAGTGCAAACTGCGTGGTGCAAAATAGGTGATGCAACACATGTGTAACTATATGCGGGGCTATATATGCTGTGCCATATATGTGGTGCAGTCAATGGTGTGCAATAGATGTTGTGCAACCCACACGAGATGCAATCTGTGATGCGCAGCCTAGAATGTGCAGCGAATGTGTGTATATCCGCCAGCCCTGTCGGCGTGTGGAAGACGCATCCCAGTGTCGTCGTCTTGCGTGGATGACCGTCGTCGTCGTCGTCGTCGTCATCGTCGTCGCCCGAAAAAAAAGAAATTCGAACACGAAACAGAAGGAAATCGTAGTCGTGGCGAAGCCCCTCGGGGTGGGGGGGCAGATACGCATCCCCCCGGGCAACCCTCTCCCTCCCTCTCCCCCTCCCCCTCCCCCCCTCCTCCTCCTCCTCCTCCTCCTCCTCCTCCTCCTCCTCCTCCTCCTCCTCCTCCTCCTCCTCCCCTCCTCCTGCTCCTCCTCCGCCTCCTCCTCTTCTTCATATTATTATTATTCGTATCCTTCTTCTGGTTATTATTATTAGAATTTTTAGTATCAGCATTATTATTATTAGTAGTAGTATTATTATTAATCTATTAATATTATTAGTATTATTAGCACTATTATCATTGTTAGTATAAGTATTAGTAGTAGTATTAGTGTTAACATTAATAGTAGTGTTATTCTTATTCGTTTCATTGTTATTATCAGTATTATGCGTATGATTTGTCTTCTTATTAGTAGTCTTAGTCTTCTTCTTCGCCGTATTATTATTCTTAGTCGTATCATTATTCTTCGTAGTAGTATGATGAGCATGCTTAACTTTAGTCTTCGTATTATTATTACCAGTCGTATTATTATTAGTATTATTCGTCTGATTCGTCTTCTTTTTAAAACTATTCGTATTATTAATACTCGTGATATTATTATTATTATTAGTACTACGATTAGGATTAATCGTATTATTAGTATGTTTATGATTCGTCTTAGTATAACTATTAGTTTTATTATTAGTAGCAGTATTAGTATTAGTGTTCTTACTCTGATCATTAATATTATGAGTATGTATAGTTCTCTTATTGTTATCATTAGTATTAGTATTATGATTCGTACGATTCGTATTCGTATTCCTATTCTTATTCTTATTAGTAGTATCCTTCTTCTTCGTCTTATTATTAGTGTTCGTATTATTCTTCCTCCTCCTCATCCTCCTCCTCCTCATCATCCTCCTCCCCCCTGCTCCCCCTTCCCCCTCCTCCTCACCCCTCCTCCTCCTCCTTCCTCCTCCTCCTCCCCCTCCTCCTCCTCCTCCGCCTCCTCCTCCTCCTCTTCCTCCTCTCCTTCCTCCTCCTCCTCCTCCTCCTCCTCTTCCTCATCCTCCTCCTCCTCCTCCTCCTCCTCCTCCTCCGCCACGTCTTCAATTGCCTCCAACGGCCTGTCACGCATCCCGTCACCCTCGAGGGCAGAGGTATCCAGGGTCGGCGGCACTGGCCATAAGGCCTTAGCAATATATATATATATATATATATATACATATATATATATGTGTATATATGTATATATGTATAT